TTCCAGAGACTTGCTCATTTGGGACTTTGCATATTACACATAGCTCCAAAGGGCTGATGAATCCTTTTTATTTCCTCTTTATTGTTAAAGCTTAAGGGGAACATCTTATGTCTCTCTTCTTCCTGCTACAGTCAAAAAATAATAATCTAGCTCTCCGTATGTCTAGAGTTTGGCTGAGATCTTGCTTATTGACTTGTACTGATTAGTATTCATTTATAACTCGTATAATATTTTCCCTACAGGGTGCCCATTGCAACTTCCAGAATCAAGCCATGTGGATTTGGATATAATAAGCACATAATAAGCACATAATAAGCACAGGATTTGGCAAAATTGAATGTATAATCATGGTCTTTGTTCTCCTTTTTATTCCTGGGAAGAGGTATTTTGTCTCCATCCATTGTCCAGGGGCAACAAATAGAACCTGATCTCAGACCACTACAGGAAGAGTTCCTCCCCGCTCACCAACAAGGCACAGAGGCCTAGAGGGAGCCGAGGCACATGGCTAAGGTACACAGGGTCCGGATACCACACAGCCTTCCCTGAGCTTCACCTCCTCTGGGGGCCTGCCCTTGCGAGCCTTCATAGCAATGAGAGAAGTAAGGGAGGAAGGCAAAGTAAATGCGTGCTTCCTCTCCATCCAAAGCAAGCAGACAGTGTTGTACCATTGTTTTCATCTTTCCTAGTTTATCTATTCAAAACACACTGGAGGAAAATACGTATCTTCAGAATAACAAGTACATACCATTAGGATTACGTTCAGCTGTGTGTAGCAGTAGCCCAAATAAGTGACTTGATAATATACAAGTTTATTTTCCCCAACATGAAAGAAGCCCCAAAGTGGGCAGCCTAAGGCTGTAATGGCAGTTCCACCATCATCAGGAACATAGACACTTTTAATCTTTCTTCTCCATCAGACTTAGCACATAGGGCACACCCTCAAGGTCACCCTATAGACTAACATAGCTGTTGGAATGGCATCCATCATCTTTACTTTCTGAGAAAGAAAAAGGAGGTAGAGGAGGAGTAAAAATGGACCTCTCCCAGGTGAAGCAGCATTCTTAAAGATTTCTGGAAACCCAACCAACAGCTCCTGCTTACAGGAGACTAGGAAATCTGTCTCTGCATCTAGGCATATCACTACCCAGGATAAAACCAGGACTCTGCGAAACACAAGCCTAAAAGTTCGATAAGTACTTGACAGTTCTCCAGGAAGAGAGAGGCTGGAGGGCATGTGGTCTTTTTGGTTTCCATGCTGGAGATGCCACTTTCACAGCTGAAAGATCTAGGTGTTGGGAGTGTGGGCCTCTGAAGTAGAAGCAAGAATGAGTTCTACAAGTAGTGAGAAGGAATGAACCTGGGGTTCTGCATCCACAGAGACACCCCACTGCTGACGGACATTCTCTAACATCTTCCATGTAAGTCTCAACCACAGCACATCATTCATAATCATCGTTCTTATTAATGTAGGTTGACCCAATGCTGCAGGTTTTGGTAACATACATATATAAAGAAGATTGAAAAAAATTTCAGTTCCAGAACTTAAAGATGAGACTATTCTATGTTTCATTTTTAGTTTTTTGTCCTTACCCAAGGACATTTTTTTTATTGCTTTTGGAGAGGAAGAGAGAGAGGAAAGGAGAGAGAGGGAGAGGTAGAAAGAGAGAGAAAGAAAGAGAGGAAAGAGAGAGACATAGATTGGCTGCCTGAGTATGCACCATGACACAGAATCCAACCCGTGACCTTTGATCCACAGGAGGACACTCATACCAACTGAACCACATCTTCCAGGGCCAAACACAATTTTAAAGTCACATTGCTTTTTATAATTGACTATATCCACAATACATAATGATCTGCAGTTTAAATTATTTTATAGGGCTCAGCTGTCTGTATATACTTATGGTCTAGCAGGGGTGTCCAACCTGAGATACTCAGGCTGCATGTGGCCCAGGGTGGCTATGAATGTGGTCCAACACAAAATCACAAATTTAGTTAAAACCTTTTTTTTTTGCTCATCAGTTTTCATATGTGTTTGTGTATTTAATGTGTGGCCCAAGACAACTCTTCTTCCAGTGTGGCCCAGAGACACCAAAAGGCTGGACACCCCTGGTAGAGTCTAGCTCAGGAAAAGTCTAGTTACGCACACTGGAGGCGGAGACCGTGAAGATGGACCAATGTCCTGCACGCAACACCCAGAGGTAAAGAAGGCTGGACAAGAAACAGATACCTCGCAGCAATCCTGAGTTTGGCTGTAGCACTCTCCCTTCTCAGCCCAAGAAAGGAGACCCAGGCTAGGGGCAGGGGGGTGGGGAGGACATGGTCAGTCCAGGAACTGGTGTTTCACGAAGCCAAGCTTGTTACCATCACCCCAATGCAACTGTAATGGTCAGGAAGCCGTGGTCTTATTGCTATTAAGAGGGACATCATAGGCAAGCCTAACAAAAATGGGGTTTTTTTTTACTCAAAACCAGCTATATTTTTCATATTCTATAAATCACAAAGTAACTGATCTATAGAATTTTAAAGCTCCAGCAAAAAGATGTTTGCAGAATAAAGCTTTGAGAATATGCCACAGCCCATCAGAAGATTACTTTCAATATTAGAATAGTTTTTCAACAGACAACTTGGTTTTTCTGCACTGTTGGCAGGTGGGGGTAGGGGAGTGAGAAGGAGCAATTGCTAAACTCATGCAAACTTTCTGGTCCTGCTGGTGAGGTTGCATAAGAAGTAGCAAGAGGCTAAGTGCACAAAGCCAGCACTAAATCATATTTTCTAGTCATACTCCTTCCCCCAGCCCCCACCCCTGTCTTTTCCCAAATGAAATGTTACAGAAGTGAACAAAGACCCAAGAAAATTTGGAGATATTTCTGATCCATAGCTTCTAACTTCTATAATGAAAATGTCATATTGCTCAGATTAAATCTGAATAAAAAGGCAATCGGCTATACACCGTGGACGTTTACCTTTTAAAAGTTTTTTCTCTCCTGTCTTAGAGCTGACATGAATTTTCTGATCTTCACCAAATACAAGAATTGCTTCTTAAAAGGAGAATAGCCCAGGCTACCCATTTGTTCAAAGCAAGAAGTTGAAGAGAGAATGAAATGAGAAGCCCACCTCTCTCTTACAACCACAGTGGACCCTCCGTAACATTGTTTGCTAGGTTGCTGTCTGGGACCATGTTTTAGACAAAGCTGTGTTTTAACAAGATTCTCCTGCTTCACTCAGTAATGAACCACTCTGGACGGGGTCCAAGACTAAAATGCCATGCATTGTATTATGCATAATAGTGGGTCATGTTTATGCAAGACCCCAGTGCAATTGTTCATAAGTTTTTATTTCTTTTTATTCTGTTTCTCAACATGCAGACTTGACTGGCATGCTCATATCAATTACTCTGCTTTTCTTGCTTTGTTGTGGTTGTATGTTTTAATGAAAACTCTTTTTCTTGAAACATATCCAGCTCCATGCCAGCTCTATGGAATCTATAAATTTTCCTCCTCGAATATAATACGAGAGCTTGGATTGAATTGGCTAACAAATACATTTGCTAAATGAGACTTTCCTCAAATGTCACTCATTCATTCAACAAGTATTTACTGAGCACCTCTGAGGCTCCAGGCATTGTGCTTGTCTGTGAATACAGTCACGATGAATCAGTCAGTCAGCTGCACAGGGGCCCTGCCTGTGTGGCGGGTGCAGCGCAATCAAGGAGACAGCAACAAGCACTGCGGTAAGTGGAGGCAGGGAAACATAGGATACCCTGACAGGGAATGGCACGGTGCAGAGGGATGCTGCACAGGCAGAAGAGCTGAGGAAGACCTCTTAGAAGTGGGGTGTTTAAGCCAAGCTCTAAGTGACTAAGAGAACCCCACCATCCAAAGGGAGAAGAAGAGTGTGGGCAGAAGAACAGCAGATGGGAAGGTCCTGCAATGTGTTTAGACCAACTCCTGCCCCCGTCCCTGCCCCTCTACCCCCTCGCCATTCACACAGCAAGTCCAGTCCCTTTGCCTTAAGAACCCCACCTGCCCAGCCAGCACGCATGGTGCTCTCTTCTATGGTGTCCTCCAGCACTTCATCTCTTTCCCACGACCTACTACTTGACCATATGCTGGGTGCCATTGTCCTCAGATGGTTCCTGTGGTTAAACTTGTCTGCCCAACAAGTTTTATAAACCCACTGAGGACAAAGGGGCGTGCCCCTTGTACCCCACACCATGTCTGCCACAGCACTGGAGCGGAACTGACGTGGGCTGCGTTGAAACGAACGGAAGGCATTAGGCCTGGCGGGGCAGGTGAACAGTCATGGCTAAGCTGCTTTTCTATCTGCATCTGCTCCCATTAGACGAAATGCAAATAGATAGACCCCATCTCTCTCTGTTCTATTTAGCATTTATATGACACCTTTCAGCACAGAAAAATGAGTAAGTGGAACCAGAAGTGGTTGTTGCATGTGCTCATCCCCCAGTCAGACTACAGCCAGGCATCTGGTCCCCACCTGCCCCCACACGCCCCTCCTCCCCACAGGGGCAGGCTGCAGGCACCACCGCACTGCTTTCAGCAGAGTTCTTCCCACTGAGCCGCGCACTGTTGAAAGAATGCATTGTCTGCGCTAAAGGGAGAATGCGGGTAGCACATTACAAATCGGAGCTGTTAAGTGATAAATGAGCAATGAAAAGCATCCTGACATCATTAAGGTGTTCCTGAACATGCTCTCTGCTCAGCCTCACCCGCGTGCAATTGTGTGAATACAGAATGGTTTGTAGGGTGACCAAAGCCTCGCTTAGAGTCACCAGATTGGGTCATTTCAACCCCATGGAGTTTTTCTAGGTTCTGTCTGTTAGAAACACAGGCATTTTATAGAAACTATTACATCTCTGTAAACTTTCTGAGAGGGTAGGGTTCTCTTCAACCCCATGAAAATGAACTTGCCTTTTCACTGCTCAGAGTATGAAGCAGTCACAGAGCACTTCCTCCTGACCTCACTCTGGAAACCTTCCCTGAAGCTCTCCAGAGCACGCACACCTGGACGGCCCCTCTGTAGACCCCATGCCACAGCCTCCACAGCATCCTGGCCCCACCAGGACCCGGCACTGATGGAGAATCCTGGACGGACTGCCTGCTGGGTGACAGAGCAGTTTATCTGACATTTATGAGACGAAATTTGTCAGGGCCAGAAAGGGCATCCCTTTAAAATCCTTTAAAGAGCATCATGACCCTTGGAATGCTGCTGGGGGCGGGGGAAGGGAGGATGCTCTGACCTGTAATGCTGCAGGATCGAAGTTTCAAGAAAAGAACTTGGATGTTGGTCAGCAAAAGCAATGGGGGAATGGGTTTATTTCCTCACAGCTAACTCATGACTAATTTGCTTGTAAGGATACCATGGTCATGGGGTAAGAGAAAGTATGTAATTCCACAATGACATACTGTGACAATATGGAGTAGAGAGGGGAAGGTCCCTCTTCCACCTCCCACTATCTGTGTGACTTTGGGCAAGTCACTTAGCATTTTGGCTTCTCTACCTGTAAACCAAGGGGAAATAATGGCAACTATTAAATAAAACATGATGAGGATCCAATGACAGCAAAAGTTATGTGCTCAGCCCAGTGTCTGGCACATAGAAGTGGGGGGAGCAAATATTGACTGCTTATTGCAGACCTACTTAACATGTCATACACTGAATTATGTGCTTTTATTTAGTTCTACAACCACTCTCAAAGGGAAAGTCTGTATTTATGATCACTCTACTATTCTGCTCACCTTGTTTTCCTATGAGAAATATTTTCATGTCAGTGGCTATTCCTGTCTGCAATTTCCCCTTGAAAAATTGCTCCAGGATGGGTACTTCCTAAGGGGAAGCTTTCTCCATTAGCCAGACAGGAGGGGAAATGTAAGGGCAAGCCTCGACCCACCATTACCAAGAAATCAACTGTGGAAGTGAGTCATCCTTCTCTCGCCACTAGGCTGGACTTGGTGATTAATGGGAGACATTTAAGATTAATACCCTTTCTTGTTCAAGTTTTGAAAATTAAACCTCTTGGAAATGTGAGCCCAGAGAACAAAAAAGGAGGAAGTAGAACAATATTCTCTTTCTAGGTGCCTGCTTTCAAAAATTCAATCTCCTTCTGCTAAAATGTAGAGAATTGGCTGTCCCTTGTCTATGTCACGTTGCTTTCCTTTTTTTCCTCCTCACCTCCAAAAGGACATTAGTTCCAGCCAACTGGTTATCATAGATCCTCAGCGCAGTTTCCAAGTTACCCAATGAGACAGTGGAACAATTGATTATACTGGCACAGGCCAACAGTGGAAGATAAGGGAATAGCATGTGCACCCAAACAGCTATTGTTGCTGTGTTTTTTTCAAAACATGAGTGCACAAGTTTGCTGGCCTGAGACCTTGAGATTCCTGGGAAAGAAAAGATACCTCAGCTAGAGTCTTATCAAGGCCATGCTTCTCAGCACTCAGTCCTATCCTTGCTACCTTAGCAGAGCTGACATCATCTCATCTTGAGATGAGCTCCAAAACCCGGCCACCAAGAGCACCCTCTGGCCCCAAATGCCAACACCAGAGTTAGGCCACCTAAGTGACCATGGATGACCTTTACTGAGCACTTTCTGCTGGGCTAATAGTGCTTCTCACTCTCCCATTTAAATATCAAATGCAGGCATTTAAAAGGGAACTTCTATTTTCTGGTTTATAAAAGAGAAGGAAGCTGAAGCTGAGAGACGTTGAGAACCTCACCTAGAATTGCACAGTTGACGGGCAGCCGGGACAGCCTCTGAGCTCCCAGTCTCTGTCTTAGACCCTTAACACACGCCTTGAGAATTAGGAAAGAGAATAGGGAAGCACAGGAATTGGAGTTGAGGGGTGGGGGGTGGAGAAGAAGACATGATGCAAGACCTAAACTTAAGATTATGTACCGCCTTGACATCTGCAAAAAATATGGAGGTCCTCAACGGGCAAGCCACAAGTCCCCTCCCACCTCTGCTCCCATGGACAAGGTCCTGTAGCCAGATAATCTTCTCTATCAACAAGGAGTAGTCTAGAACTCCCACAGTCTTTATGTGGGAGGGGCAATGGAGAAAGTTATTCTTAGAGGCTTTTCAGGCAAACAGGAATCAACAAATAAGCTGTAAAACTGGAGCTGAGTCTGCTGAGTCTACTGTTTGACCGAGAGCTCACATTTATTGAGTGTTTACTATGTGGCAGGCACTATTACGAGCATTACATGGGTTAACCCATTTCATTCTCACCACAACCCTTTGAAGTAGATACAAGTATCACCCTAACTTTGCAGATGAGGAAATGGAAGCACAGACAGATTCATCCATTCACTCAAGTTTCAGAAATGTTGTGTAGCTGGTCTGGGGAAAGGGCCGAGGCAGTGGTCTGTTTTCCGAGTACCCTCAGTGGGGTCTCGCGTGCTCCCAGCATGAAGAACTACTTGACTGAGATGGATCAATGATCCTTTAGTCCTATAACCAATCACATAATGCCTTGTACAGCAAACTGTTCCCTACACAAATTTTATTTCTTCAATTAGATTATAAACTCCCAGAAGTGATAAGGTTAAATAGGAGTAAAGCCTTAGAATAACTTGGAATCCATTTCTTCAGTACCAACAGCACCACAGGGCGCATGTACCCACAGTAGACACTCGACACAGTGAAGGCTTCAGACTCAGATTGTGAGCAGTGACTGCACACTGCTCACACTCAAAGAGGGCTCACATTAGTTCCTTTGTTTATTCTATGAGGTCAGGATTGCTGTTATTGTTCTCATTTTACAGATGAGAAAACACAGGCACAAAGAGGTTGGGGACACACAACTTGTACATGGCAGAACTTGAAGTCACAGTTGAGCTCCAGAGCATGTTCGAGTCCAACATGGTATCACAGAAGGCTGGAGGAGGGAGGAGTGCAGGAAGGGAGAAAAGGAGAAAACCATACACAGAAGGCAGGAATGCCAACTAAAACTGAGGGTCTCGTGTCTGATTAAACTTAGCTATAAATCATAGCTCTAGAAATCATCTCTGTTTCTGTGTCCCCCACCCGCACCCCAGAGACCTGGACTTTCCCCCATAACCAGAAACCCCTGAGGCAGTGGAAGACAGTGACCTGGACCAGGCTAAAGATCACAAGGCCAGGACCTCTGCAGGCTCAAGGTAACATCTTGACCTAAGTTGTGTTTCAGTTCCTGAGGCCTACGGTAGAGACCCCCCCCCCAATGAAACCAGATAGAGATACACTGGAGCAGACCTCAGAACTCTTCTTAAGACCTGAGGAAATGATTTAGGACCATTACCCTACCTCAGACCAATCAGCTCCCAGCATAACCCCAAACCCCTACCCCTGGTGTCTTGTGCTTTTTCCCTATATAATCTGTAACCTACCTGCCATCAGAGGGGTTGGGCCCTTGAGCATCAGCTCCCCGTTCTCCTGGGTGGCCCCATCCATTAATGAAATAGCCAATATTTCTCAACTGCAATTAGTGTTTAGTGTTTGGCTCTGCTAGTGCCAAGTGGGCAAACTCGTTCTGTTCTATAACACTGTTGTGTTAGTTTGCTAAAACTACCGTAACAAAGCAGCATAGACTGGGGACTTAAACAACAGAAGTGTATTGCATAGAAGTCCAAGATGAAGGTGCCAGCACGGTTGGTTCCTTCTGAGACTGTGAGGAAGAACCTGCTCCAGACCCCTCATCCAGCCTCTGGCACTTTGCTGTCAATCTTTGTCATTCCTCAGCATATAGAGGCATCGCCCTGATGGCTGCCTTTATCTTCCACATAGAATACTCCTTGTATATGGGTCTGCCTCCAAATTTCCCCTTTTTATACAGGCATGGGTTAGGACTTCCCATGTGAAAAGACCCATGTGAAAGGTGGGTCTAATTCAACCCATAACAAAAGTTAAGGGCCGCACAGCATGTAGGTTAATAAGCCAGAGCTCCACGGGACTGAGAAGGCCAGACTCCCCCAGATTTGAGCCTTGAAGTTACCTGGAGAGCAACTCTGGGGTATTCGGGTGACAGTGAGTCAAACGGCAGCAGAGACCAGAGCAGGCAGGGCCAGGCCGGGCTCCTCTGGCACAAAGAATGAGTGGTCAAGGCCTGGCCCCGCCTTTTCCTGGCAAGGCTTCAACCCCTGGATTGCACAACCCTCTTGTCAATGGAAACCAAAAAGCTTTAAAAACACACACAAAAACAAACAACAACAAAAACCACACACACAAAAAAGAGTAATCTTATGTTGTCTGTGAAAAGCCTCAGAAAATGTCAACAAGTGCTGAGTCAGGAAATTCTCCCCCAATAGCTTTTGTTGGAAACGCTTAACATTTCAATTTTATCTCTTCTTGTTTTTTTTCAGACAGCTCCTCGGAGGTATTCAAATGCAACAATACCACCATTCAGGCCTTTTGGCTCTCCGAGGACTCCTTGGAGCCATGGCCAACATACACCCTCCCAGAATCACAGCTGCTTGCTTACACACTCTAGGGAGCTGATTTCCTCCAGCCCCACTGAGCTGGGGCAGAGGACACTGCATCTTATACACCCGTGCCCTCTTGCCAACTGGCCACCAGAAAGAGCATACATACCCTGGGTAAGGACTACTAAGCAGATATAACCCAAAAGCTGAGGTCTCATCTCTGGCAGTGGCCAAGAAATACTAAGGGACCTCCATCATGAACCTTTCTATGCCACCCTGCAGGTCACAGGGCAAGAGTTCAGCTACGGAAGGACCATGGCTTTCCTCCTTTATCCTTCCTCACACCTCAGTCCTCTGCCGCAGTCCTGGGCCACTCCTGGCCACTCCGACATCACCGCCTCTCCATGCCAGTCGCTACCCTGTGGTTCAGAGTTTCCTGAGCACCTCCACTGTTTCTTCTTTGCAGTGTCTCTCACCTACGTGGGGTAGCCATGTTCTTCTGAACCAAACAGCAAACAAAGACAGAAGGGGTGCGGTGGAGGAGAGCAGGCAAGGAGGAAATGGAAGTAACACGATTTAATGTGGCACAAGCTGGCCGCTAGTCTAATTCAGACGTGCCCTTCCTTAATGAAACACTATCCTTCTGGCCAGACAAGTGAAGAGGCATCTTTTAATACAGAGCAATAAATAGCAAAGAAAATAGAGGCACATTCCCTTCTTACCATGCTGAGTCCCAAAGGCACAGCCTACTCCCAAAAGGCGATTCGAAAACTTCCGGGTTGGCATCCACTGTGCCTTAGTCGGCAGTCCATCCTTCTGAATAACTTGGATGGAATAAATGAGCCCATTGTACTCAAGCCTGAGCTGGGAAACAGTATGTACAGAGCAAGAAGAGCCAGTGCCAGGGTTAATTTTTGCCACACAATCGTCATGCTAGAATAAATAATGCATCGGTATACATTGATTAGGAAATGTCATATTAATTGTCCAAACACTGTGAGGTCATCATCCCCGGATGTGAGCATTAAAAGAAGCTGGCAACTTTTGCCCTTTTCAGCATGACCGTAAAACTGCAGTGAAGACACAGCAGAAGGGGTCAGGCTCACCATCCAGACAGAGACTGACAGAGCCGCTGCAGGCAAGGCTGTGGAGACTGAGCATCGGCATTGCTCCTGCAAAACTGAGCATTTTCACTTCTCTCAGCTTGAGCCATGTCCATTGCCTGGAAGAGAAAGGGCAGGGCAGTAAGCGTGTGTTGGGCATCTGCTCATGGGCTCATTCTCCCTGACCGTAATCCTCCTACCTCTGCAAGAAGGTAGCATTATTCTCATCTTGCAAGTAACATAAAGAGAGGGGCGGGGACTCATACTCAAGGACCAGTTATCTAGTCAATATCCATGTCCTTGCAAAAGGGTGTTCGAGTCAGATTCAAGGCCAAGGAACACTAGTTTGGTGTGAAGTTATTGGGAGCACAGAATTTTTGGCAGCATAACCAGGTTAATAAACTTGGGATGCAAAAGAAAGCTGGTCCCTCTTTCCCTGATCACAAGCTCTATAACACTCCGGGTTCACCCTATAGCTTTCTGGCCTGCTTCCATCTGTAAGAATGAGTCTCATTTGGGGACTTAATAATTTTTCAGGCATTAAAAAGTCTTGCCCATGTCACAACTTCTCTCTGCTTCCATATCGAAGCTTTCTCCCTCCTGTAGCTGAGCACTGACTCCACTTGGGTTATGTGTGGAGAGGGATGTAGAAATGTTCTAACCTGTCTCCCTCCTCCCCATTTCTCTGCCTTTCTGGTCACAGCAGGGTTGCAGGAACAAGAAGGTACTGAGGGTTTGTGCTTGGTGGTGCTCTTAGCAGTAATCTCTTGACTTTGAACCTTCTCCGTGTGTCTCAGCATTCAAATGTGGCTAATAAGTACCCACATAAGAGACCTCCTCTCTACACATTTCTGTGATGTGGTTGAAGAACACTCTGGCAGACCTTTGGAGAACGCCCACAGCTCTGTCCCTGCCCCAAGGTTCCCCCTGTGCCCCCTTACACTCACAGGAAGTCCTCCTACTCAAGGTCCCCTAAAGGCACTGAGGCATCCATTTGGCCCATAGGAAGCTCACACTTGCTTGCCACACAACATGGTAGGGAAGCCAGATGCCCACAGACATCGTATCTCCTCGCCCTGCTCTGCTGGGTTATTGCAGCTAGGCTCCTGACTTCAGAGTACTCCAGACAAGTTCCAGGCTTTCGGTTCACATCTGTACTCTTGCCCCAACTTCCAGGGAGAAAGGCAGACCTCTCTCAAGGCATGGAGTGAGCTGCTGCTCTTCTGTAGTTCAACCAGAGAACAGGAGTCAAGCCTTCCTTCTGGCACGCACCCCAATCTCCATGAGTGGCACGCCCACCCCTAAATTAGCAGGACCTAGGGCAATAGTCCAAGTGGAGAGGCCCACATGCCAAATATCCAAATACTCTAAAGTCACAGATCTAGCTCACTTATAGTACTGTTAAATAAAATATCATTCACAAATATACCTTCATGATGGCCTGGAAGGTCAGTTCGAAATAGAATTCCCAGTCTCCCTGGAATTTGAATCTGAGAGAGACATTCTTCCCATCCGAGACCCTGCCTCTGGCTCAGCCTGCTCTGCTTCTCTTCCTCCCCTCACCTCCACTCCACAGCAGAAGAGCCTCGGGCATGCGCATGTGGCCACCTACGCTGCACATGCAGGACCGGCCCACATTCACCCAAAACTGCTGCCCCCAGCCACACGTGGGTGCAGGCCCGAGTCAGTCCACCTTGGGGCAAGGGACCTCAGCAGGCCCTGGAAGGCATCCTGGGAGACCTGGACACCTGGAATGCAGTGGGGAGGGGAGCGCCAGGAGGACCTGTCCCCTAATGCCACAGATTACCCGCTCCACAGGCAGGAATGTGCTGAAGGGGTTTCTGAGAGGGTCTCTCCAAAACACAGAGGTCAGGGCAGGGACCCACCTTTAGGAGAGTTCTGATGAGTGGTTTTTTTTTTTTTTTTTACTTTTGCTGACCTGAGGGTGCAGCATGGGAAAGAAGAGGGGGAAATGTCACCACCCCATCTTTAGCTCCCCACACACTGACTCCCCTTTCCATGTATCTGTACTTTCTGCTTATGTGAACTTTATGGGATGGTGCAGGTGAAGGGCAGAAGGCCAGTCTGGCCACCTCCTAAAACACCCTGAAGGGGGCTGCTTTCATTAGACGATGGACGCTGTCCTCAGTCTGGGGGCTTTAGCCACAATTCTGAGACATCCCATTCCATCAGGTTACAGAAAGGGTCCAGACACATCACACTAATGTGACGTGGATATTCAGTTCAGCGGGAGGGTTTTACATGCCCACATTTTAACACTATGTGAGGGAGGCAGAGGGAGAGAGTAAGGCTCACATCTGGGCAGCTTTAAAACCAGGCTCTACTCTGTGACAGGAATACATTCACGGAAACATGTCTGCAGTGAGGAAGGAGACGCTGAGTCCCAGCTAAGGGAAACTCCACAAAGACTTTGGCAGAGACATTGGCTGTTTCCTTCAACTGAAAGGGTGTGGTGCTGCCCCGAGGCCCCCACTCAGGAGGCCGCAGCCCTGGGATCACAGCAGCACCAATGGTGGGTGAGCCGCAGCGACCGTCCCCACCCTGGGGTGCCCGCACTTCCTCTGGAGAGAAACGGGTGTAAGGAAGCACCATCACTCCTGTCCAGCCCCCAGCTTCTGTGGCCTGTGCTCACTGCAGCTGGGACCACCTGGCCTGCTGCCATCTGCAGACTCCACCCTGCTCTGGTCTCTGACCAAGAGGGAGTTAAGGACTTGTGTCTAATCCCTAGGCACACAGAAGGCCATAGAGAAAACAGGACTAATCTGGAATCAGAGGCCCTGGATTTAAGTTCTGATTCGGCTACATACTAGGTATAAGATTTTTAGATGTCAGTGAATTTGCTGGGCTTCCTCTGGAAGTTAGAGGTGTGAAGAATATCCATCTACCTACATCAGTGGGAATTTGAATGATCTAATAGTATTAGTTTGATACTATAAATTCTGAATTATTAGTGACCAGGCTTAGAGGTGGAGTATCACAGTCTTTCCATCTAGTTCCACAACAGGTTTAGAACCATGGCTCTGCCTCCACTGTCAGACCAAACAATACCGATAACAACAACCTTCTGAGGAAAGAGAGGTCAATAGCAACAGCAACAGTAGTGACAACCGAACACTTACTGAGCGTTCCTATGAGCGAGGCACTGAGCTGCATGCTCAGACTCAGCCTCATTCAATCCTCACCACCCGACGAGGATGATATCCCACCTAGGAGTTTCTGTTCTTGCCTCCCAGCCTGAAGCACAGGCTACAGCAGCCTGCATTTCTGACTGTTAACACATTCCATCTCCCACTGGGGTACCCAGTGTGGGACCTCCTCCATGTCAGCCAACTGCACTTTGAGTTTTCACCTACTTTTAAGATGCCACATGGAGATTGGGGTGTCATGGTATTCGTGCTAGGTGTGGTTTTTCAAGCATAAGCCTCAGAATCTGACCCTGGGTCACCATCCCTCTGCAGCCCAGAGGTCCACAACTGCCCCCCAGTGAGCTCAGCACCCTCTGGTCCTGAGTAGTGGGGTCCATGTTTCCTCTCTCTGGAGACTTGAGATTATGGCAGAAGTGATGCCATATGATTTCTAAGTCTAGGGTGTAAGAGGTGATGCAGCTTCTGCTGTCCTCACTGGAACATGTCCGCTCGAGCCCTGAGCTGCTGCGTAAGCAGTCCACCGCCCTGAGGCTGCCATGCTGGGGGAAGCCCACCTAGTCCACGTGGGAAGACCACATGGAGAGCCCCTGAGTTTGCTCGAAGAGAAAGATGTCTGGCCAGTCTCTGGCTGTGTCAGCTCCTCCACTGTTCCCAGCTCTGTCGGCTGCCCCACATAGACTAGTTGGGCTTCCCCCAGCATGGCAGCCTCGGGGCAGGTGGACTGCTTACGTGGCAGGTCAGGGCTGTAGCAAAAGTGTTCCAGTGAGCATGACAGAAGCTGCATCCCCTCTTACACCCTAGACTTAGAAATCATATGGTGTCACTTCTGCCATAGTCTCAAGCCTCCAGAGAGAGGAAACATTGACCCCACCACTCTATGAGAGGAGCGTTAGTTATGGTGCAAAACAAGCATGCGAGATGGGAGATATTATTGCAGCCATTGATGGAGAATGCAATCTGCCTCATCCACTGAAGAGGAGGGTATGCTGGGAAATAAGGCAGACTTAGATCCCAGGGGCTGCAAGAGCCTTTGGCCTAATGTCCCCACCCTGCCACTTGGGGTGGACTTATTTGTTCACTCTCTTCTTATGAGGGCCTTAGTTTGCCATTTGCTCCTCAGTTTGTCACCAAAACTCTAGCCCTGGTGTCCTCCCCTGGTCACAGGTCACTGCTCCAGCCTGACCCTGTTCCTGATGTTTGCCACACTGACCACAGTGGACACACTGTGATCCTAATCCACACCTGGTGAATACCACTGAGAGGGCCCACAGCCACTCCCCCGTGGCCCTCCCAATATCCATTCTAGCCCCTACTGAGTTAGAGCTTCCTCAATGGCCTTGGAGTGGGCACTTATGTCACTGGGGCCTTCTGCGAGGACCAAGTCCTTTTAGCTGTGACTTACTGAGAGCTCAGCCTTGTACTGGTCTGGGCTGTCTTATACCTTCCAAGGCGACATGGAACTATTTATTCAACCCATTTGCATCACAGCATCTATGACATCCCATGCGCATCTCACCAAAGAATCTAGGCCAACCTCAATCAATATCACAAGATCTAAGCAGGACACTTCAAGGCAGGGGCCAAGATAGGAAATTACATTTCCTCTGTTCTATTGGCTAGCAGTGGAAACCGACGGCCTGTCACTTAACCTTGAATTGCTGTGATATGGGAATTTGCTGTGCCTGTTTTGCAGGCTTATCCTCAAAGCAAGGTGTGCTACATTCAATGATTTGAGCAGGCTGTAGCATGTAACATGTAATAGTCATTATTATTATTACAACTGTCCTAACGCTGCTTCTGTATTCACTTCCCCAGACAACAGGGTCAGCCAAACATGCCCTCCCCTCTTGACCACCCTGCCGAAAGCCCCAGCGGTTCCCTTTCCTCCTCTGTGCCCCTGCAGAGAGAGGTGGGAGTCGTGGACGCCGTGCTGCCCCCACCCCACCTGCACC